TTGCGTGCCCAATTTCAATATTTTGAAATCAAAATATCAAGATTTTTTTTTTTTTTAAATAATCATAAAATCATTCTAAATATTTAAATACTATAAGGGTGTGTTTGGTCCAGGAAATGTTTTATTGCTGAAAAGGTAGGATTACCTTTGAGATAGATTACCTTGACGATTACAAAAGAATGTTATACCAATATGTTTGGTTAGATTAGTGAGTATAAATAATTAAGATGTTTGGTTAGGAAGAATAAAATATTATTGACAGAGCCTTTTACCAAATTCCCTTCCTTTTTAATAATAATAATAATAATAATAATAATAATAATAATAATAATAATAATAATTATTATTATTATTATTTTTAAATAAATTCCTTTAATCCCCTATATTTGAGAATTTAGCTAAAACACCCCCAAAAACAAAGTTTAAATTTTAATAAAATACCTCCAACCATCCAAGACCACCACCGACCATCGGCCATTGGCTTCAGTCATCAAAATGGTGCACGACCAGCGAGATCAGGCTAGCCGTGCACCGTTTTGGCTATTTTCGGCCAGATTGAAGGTTCAAAACAACTAGATCACTATGAATCTGTCCGACAGATCCATGGATATTTGACTGTTTTCAGCCAGATCCACAGCAATCTAGTTGTTTCCAACTAGATCCATGTAAATTTGGTTGAAAACGGTTACAAATGGTCGATCTATTCTGACCGTTTCCAGCTAGATCCACGACGATCTGGCTGTTTTCGACCTTCGATCTGGCCAGAAACTGCCAGATCGGTGCATGGCTGGCTAGATCTCGCTAGTCTTGCATCAATCTGGCAATTATTGCTGGGCTGACGGTGGTGGCTAGTGGCCGGCATAGGTCTTTTGTGGCTGGGAGTATTTTGTTAACTTTTAAACTTTTTGTGGCTGAGGTGTTTTTGCTAAATTCTAAATTGTCGGGGGTATGGGTTATTGTTATTTGATAGATATTTGAGGACAATTTTGTCCATAATGGTATTTAATTAAGGGTAAAATGGGTATAAAATTAAGATTACACCGGTAATCTTTAAATACCACCCCCTGAGGAGGTAATCTGATTATCCCCTATTTAACCCATAGTAATCACTATTAGTATTGAAAGATTACCGAAATCTTTTATTACTTGACAACCAAATAAGGGAATGTCCGTAATTAAAGATAGATTACTAGAGTTATCTTTCCAAAGCCCTAACTAAACACACCCTAAATATTTGTATTACTAATTTGATGATATATAAGAAAATTATTTGAAAAACATTAGTCATAAGAAAACGTACTTATTACATTATTTAACAAATAGTAATAATACAATATTAATTTTCTCTAAAATTTTACGTACATAATGGAAGGGAGTTCATAGTAATTTTACACTAGCGATATGTCCGTCCACCCTCAAAGGCTGTTATCCGTTAGCCAAAACAAAGCGCTAGAGCCTTCTTGATCTTTCTGATTCCCAAACCCTAATTAACAAATCATTCTTTTGAATCCGAAGACGTTTCACCCAAATGTCGATTCCACCTTCTTCTTCCGTTCCATCGGCTTCTTCCTCTGCACAATTCACATACAATGCAACACCATCATCATCAACGACAACTTCTAGCTCTTACTTTCCCTTACCTTTCCACCTCCAACAACCCGATCCGACGTGGTATCTTCAACCCCACGTCGCTCCTCCACCCGGTCTTGTCGTCCCCTCTGTCTACTCCGCCTTCGTTTACTCGCTCCCCCTGTACCACCAGGTCCGTGCAATTTCATCTTTTTCATTTTGGTTGATTTTTTGAATTAATTTTCAAAATATCTGACAAGTCTTTTATGAATTAGATTCAAGGGTAGGCTTTATTTTCGATGAACTTGAAGAGCTACAATCCTCAAACCCAAATGCCAAATCATCATCACAGAGCCAATAGTTGTATAGTTTTAGTGAAATAAATGAAGAATTGGAATCAACGGTTTAAATTTCACATCCGTGGCCAGAGTGGGTGGACTTGATGGAATGTTTGTTGAAAAAAGGGTACTTTGATCGAGATGGAAACCCTTTTAACAGTAAAAGTGATGAGCTAGAAACTGTATTCGTACTGCATGCCTTAATTTTGCGCGGGATCATTATAGTCTTATAAGGTATGGACTTATGAAATGTGCCCACCACTTGTTTGATTTTATGACTGTGAGTGCAAAACTTACATTTAATTGCTTGAACTTTGCTTTCTTATTCAAGCAAGTTCCTTTTTAAGCAATTGCATTATGCAATCAACTGCTTTATCACTTACACAGGACAGGATGCCATCTATCCCTCTCTTACTCACAATTTATGTAATTTATCTTTTAGATGTGAATAATTTACTCATAGAAAATGTATAATTTTAATGCTTATTTTGGAAATATAGTTGCATTGGAATCGTAAAGTAGAGCGATGGCTAGAAGAACTTTGGACGTGGATGGTTAGGTTTAAGGATGCTTTCTTTTCAATTGCATTGGAGGTATGAACATTCTTTATTGGTTTACGGTGAAAGACCAACTCATTCGCTTGTTAAAGCTGTGACAATGCATGCTCTCAAACCGATGCTTAATTGTAGATTGGTTCTCAAGTTTTGCGAATCAAATGTTTGTGTTTGCTTGGGAGGGGAATAACTTGTTGAGTGTCCGTCTACCATCTAATTTTGGTTACATAGTCTTGCTAGCTGACCCAATTCTAGATCACAAGTCAGTACAAGTTTTTTGTGTTCCATTTAAAGTATTCACATTGTTTAATAACAATGTTTTTCCTACTAGATATGCTTTAGAGGGAAGCAAATGAGAAATTAGGAGAAAGGCAAATGGAGGAGATGAATAGACGATGGGAAGAGAAGTTCATGATGATGCTTACAACTCAAGGTCAACAATCTTCAACAAATAATTTAGACGAAAGGTTGAAAATAATTTAATATTTAGCTACGAATTCACTATATATGTGACAAATAATCTTTTTATTTAGTTACGAATTTAGTGGTCACATAGCTAAAATGTTAATATGGATACTTTTTTTGTAGCAGGGATTTTCAAATTTTAGTTATAAATTTATATTTGTGTAGCTAAAATTCAAACATATTCATACAAACTATTCTCCATGGCTATAAAGGCAAAGCTTTTGCTACAAGCTTATTATTGTTATGGCAAAAATATTTAAGTTTTTAGTTACATATTAATCCCATTCATAGGAAAAAATATAAACTGTTGCAACAAGTTACATGGCTAACTTGTAGCTACGCCACTTCTAGCTACGATAAGTTACAAAAAATTGCATTTGTAGTTAGACCATTTAGCTATGCAAATTCATATTTTTAGATGTAATAAACGTCATGGCTAGAAATGCATAATGTTGTAGTGTCAACGTATTCGAACGGATAATGCCCATGATTTTTTTAACTCTCATTGTTCTGAATTATTTCCTTCTCTTGTTATTATCCATGAGAGCTCTTTTGTCTATACCCCCCCTAGCAAAATGATATAATTGAGTGCAAACATAGACATATGTTAGAAGTAGCCCGTGCCCTAGAACACCAAGCCAACGTACCGATTAGGGCGAATGTGTAGTCACAGTTGCCTATCTAATCAATCATATGCCAAGTTGGGTTTTTCATGGTAAGACCCCCTATGAGCTTCTCTTTGGCAAACCACCGACAATTGATCATCTTCAGGTCTTCGACTGTTTATGTTATTTTACTAATCTTGGGACCATGAAAAATTTGATCCCCAGGCCACACGGTGTGTATTTATGGGATATCCAATACATCAGAAAGGATATCGACTATATGATCTAGCTATTGCCAGATTCTTGGTCTCTAGACATGTGATTTTTCACGAAGATAGTTTTCCTTTTTTGGAAAATCCCACATCTCACCAAGAACCTCAACAGTTGTCTCCTTTTTTGGAAAATCCCTCAGATCTCTTTGGTCCTTACTTTACCATGCATCCCATTACTAAAGTGGGACCCACCAGATCAGCTTCAGAATCTGCTCCTTCTGTTCATCATCCTATAGAGACTCAACTATATAGTCCCCCCTTCCTTTGGACAATCCTCCTATGGTTCCTGAACCGACTCCATGACGATTTACAAGGTTCACTTGACCTCCTATTTGGACAGCAGACTATGTCTTACCCACTATTCAGACTAACATAGGTACCCTTTATCCCACTTCTAATTATGTCAGTTATGACCGGTTTTCTCCTGCACAAGGGTATGTGTCCAAAAACCTTCCTACTATTTTGATGTTGTTTCCCATAACCACTAGCATCAGGCCATGGCTGATGAACCAGATGCTCTCTTTCAAAATCACACTGCGGATCTTGTTCCTTAACCTCCTCACAGGAAACCTATAGGTTGCAAATGGGTCTACAAGATCAAACATTGTGCTAATGGCTCGATTGAATGGTACAAAGCCCGTCTCGTGGCAAAAGGCTTCACACAGCGAGAAGGCTTTGACAACCAAGAAACATTTTCCTCGGTGGTCAAACATGTTACCGTTCGAGCTATCTTGTCCATAGCTGTTATCCGCAATTGGTCCTTTCAACAAATAGATGTTCATAATGTCTTTCTCCATGGGGATCTTCATGAGGAGATTTACAAGGATCTCTCACTAGGACTTCGCAAACAGGGGGAGAATCTAGTAGTCATCTACAAAAGTCCTTATATGGTTCAAAGCAAGCATCACACCAGTGGAATGCAAAGTTCTCAGGCCTTTACAAGCATAGGATTTGTTTAATCCAAGCACGACTATTCTCTTTTTCATGGTGCAAAGGTACGCCTTTCATTGCTCTCATTATTTACATGGATGACATTCTAATCATAGGAAATAATGAGGACAACATCCGTACCCTAAAAGAGCATCTCAATAGACACTTTCGTATAAAAGATCTGAGGGAGCTTAAATATTTCATGGGGATAGAGATCGCACGATCTTCATCTGGGATATCTCTTAGTCAACGAATGTCCTTGAGCCTATGTCAGACTCTGGTTTATTTGCATGCAAACCGAGTGCCATTCTTGTTGAACAAAACACTGAGCTTACAACCTGGCAATATGATCATGCAACATCATCTTCAGAAGATGATCCTCCATTGGAAGATCCATCTCACTATCAGAGGCTTGTGGGAAGACTAATTTATCTCACCATGACACGTCCTGATATAAGCTATGCTGTTCACATTTTGAGTCGGTTTATCCATAGCCCAAAACAGTCTCATATGGATGTAGCAATTAAAGTGCTAAAATACTTGAAAGGATGCTCTGGCCTAGGACTTCTTTTACCAAGAGATGAAAATCTAGATGTCACAGCATATTGCGATTCAGATTAGGGTACATGTCCTATGACGAGAAAGTCACTCACTGGGTTCTATATTAAAATTGGAGGATCACTTATCTCGTGGAAAACAAAGAAGCAATCAACAATATCACTTTCTTTAGCATAAGTAGAATACAGAGCCATGGCAAAGACAACTAATGAGATTGTTTGGATCCTTGGATTATTGAGAGATTTAGAGGCGCAAACAGGAAAACCTATCACTTTGTACTGTGAAAATAAAGCTGCTATTGACATCGCAACAAATCTAGTATTCCATGAAAGGAATAAACATATAGAGATTGACTTCATTTTGTTAGAGAAAAGATTCAAGAAAGGATTATCAAGACCATGCACATCAGAATTGTAGAACAACCAGTGGACATTTTCACGAAGCCTCCATGCAGTTGTCATCATTCATATTTACTACACAAGTTGGGAGTTTTCCACATCTACAAACCATCCGCTTGAAGGTGAGTGATGCAATATGGAATGCAACCAGATTATGCTGCTAGAATCAGGCATTGACAAAATTACTGCAGATTTTATACTACTGATTTATTTGCTGTAATATTGTGTAATTATTTAGATTGATTGTATTTCCTTTATTATTTACATAGCCTCTATATAAATAGACATTTGCACACATTACAATATATACGAAATACACACATTCATCTATATTTCTTTCTTCTTCTTCTTGGCATTCTTCAGTAACATAGTTGCTTCTATTGCCGACCTTTTATTCTTCTTGGCATTCTTCAACAATACAATTGTCTCTTTTGCCATCTCCTGTTCAAAATCTTACAATATTTACTGAGTAGTGAGTAGTGCTTTAAACCCCAACTCGGGGTGAAACCTGACAAAGTGGTTGGGTCCCAGGTTGACCGGTTTAACCGGTAGGTCAAACTGGTGTCCAAAGGTTTAAAATCTAACAAAAAATACCCCTAAAAATTATTGTAAGTCCCTATAGATTTGAAATCTTACAAAACACCCCAAACACCAACATCGGCGTCGACAAATAAAGTCTGTTTCTAGCAACGACAACACTCTCCATCATTACGAAAATACTCCCCTCATTCTCCTGACCAAAACTCATGTCACCCCTCACCCGTTCACCTCCCCAATCACTGACAACAATTGGCTTTTTCTGGCGACATAGTTTTACGATTTCTAGTTGATTCACTCACCGAAATCACCACTGTCGCCATTATTGCACTCACCGACCATTCCTTTTCAAAAGCCCTAACATTCCAGCCTTCAATTGTTCACGGATTGACATCCTAATTTCTAGGGTTTTTAATGAATAGAAAAATTTGAAACCTGACCCGGTGAAGGCCCCAGGTCCCGATTTAACCGATTCAATCGGCTGGGTCGGGTTTTAAAACACCGGTAGTGAGTAATATTTGATTCATAAAGATAAAAAAATTAACAATTGTACAACTGTTATACAACAAATAGTTTTATACCATTGATATTTGAATATTTAAGTTTTGAACAAAATAAGAGTTTTTTTCTAACACCGATGTCATCATGCTGACGTTAGCATAATAATGTCACCGGTTCAACCCGTCGATTAGGCCGTTTGAACAGGTCAACCTGACATCCAATCACCAGACTGAATCATGTGTTGGGTTGGTTCTTAAAACATTGTGCTAAATGAACATATTGTCATCAACGTCGGGTTGGTTCTTAAAACAATGTGCTAAATGAACAGATTGTCAACAGCGTAAAAGAAGCAGAAATACTGATTGGATTAAAAAGAATAATGGTACAAGTTATCATATTCTTTGTTTTTTATTAAAGAAAATAATGGTTTTTCCAACTTGAAACGCAATCACCTACTGTACTGTACTGAGCCGCCATATGATAAGTATCTGCCGTGAATGGTGGGCAAAGCGAAGTTGTCATCCTTGATAGGAAGTATGATAGAATTTTCATTTAATTAATTAAATATACATATATTAAACATCTTCCATGTGGTTGTTGAAGTAAAAGTAATAAAAAACAAAGCAATTACCAGTTATAGATTAATTCCAGCCCAGTCGATATTGAAATTTCATAGTGAGCCCCCTTTAGACACTAATCCGGGTTAGGTTTAAGAAACAGAAACGGAAACACAAGGTGAAGACAAGTCGATTTAGAAATTTCATGGTGGGGTTCCTGATACGTTGTCTATTAAAGGCGCGCAATGGTGTTTTGTAATTAAGTTTTATCATTATATCTTGTATTTGTATGAGTGAATGTGTGATGGCTATGGCTGCTGCTTCTTGAAGAACGTTATAAGAAGAAGTCAGACATATGGAGGACTACTTTGATAAGTAACCAACCTATCTGGTTGTATATATATATATATATATATATATATATAGTATGAAGGTGATGAAGAATATTTTAATCACTATAAATAAATATTTATTTATTTCTCAAGATTAATAAGATTTAATACTCTAAAATAAACTCCTTCTCGATGCAATAATTTTCACTGAAAACCCTACTATCAACATTCTGACAGGTATTGCTTTATCGATAATGTTAAGGAAGAAGTTGAGAGAAGTGATGGACTAAGTACCCTAAGGCAAGAAATTCTTTCAGCAATAACACTTGAAGATAAAAACGATTACCTCTCTGCTGCAAAATAAAAAGCTGCAGACAGCAGAATGGTTCTCATGGTTTTTGATAATGTGACACAAGGTGGACAGATAGAATTTTTAATCGGAGGTCTTGGTTGGTTTGGAGTCGGATCATTATAATATCAAGAGATGATCAAGTCTTGAAAAAATGTGGAGCGGATAAAACGCGCAAGGTTGAGGGACTATTGCATGCTGAAACTCTTATACTTTTTAATTCGTATGCCTTTGAAGATCATGATCTAGGGGAACGTTATTTGGAGTTGTCAAACAAGGTAATAATACATGCTAGAGGCGTTCCATTTCTTCTCAAAATTTTGGGGTCCTTTCTATATGGCAAGAGACCTCAAGAATGGGAAAGAACACTGAATATGCTGGAGAGAAATGGTGGTGTGAATTTCCTATAGGAAGTGCTAAAAATCTGTTATAATGGATTAAGTGATGAAGCAAAGAAATATTTGAAGATATTGCATCGTTTTTTAATGGAATGGACATAGATCACATAAAAAGTACTCTGGAGGTCAAGAATAACTTCTCTACGAAGATGGGGCTCAATATTCTCCTTACTAAACATTTTATATTTGTAGCAAACAACAAAGTTAAAATGCATGACTTATTACAAAAAATGGGTCGAGAAATTGTTTGGAGCGAATCATGTCAATGCAGCCTTTTGTCGATGCAGCCTTTTGTGGCATCGTGAGTTGTTGTGTGTTTATTTATTGTTTAGGAGTTGGCTCTTGTTCTCCTCTTCTTGGTTTATCGTCTCTTTTATGGATTGATGTTGCATGGCCACCATTGGAGACCTTTGCTCCCTCCGTTTGGAAGTTTTTTAATAAATGGTTGTCTCTGATTTGAGGTTGTATTTTGTTTTAGTATATTTGTTTAATGATGATGCTAGAGTACTGTTTGCTCAATTGTATACAGATATGAGTTTAATTAGTTCATCCTATATTTCATGACTATGAGTGTTGTTATTTAAGTTTATTAAAATTATTCTGAATCCGTTGTGAATAAAATTTTATTAAACAAAATTATGTATCCACCCATATTCTAAAACTAAACTTTACATTTTTCCTCAATATTTAAGGTAAATTTCATACAACCTGAAATTCCAAAAATTTCCTATAGATATCTAACATGGTAAATCGTGGTGGCAGGCTGGCCGACATCTTAGATTCAACCCTAATAGGAGTAAGTATTTTTTTTTTTTTTTTTCCTTCTTAATTTAGATTTGACTAGATGATAAATATCACTTAGGTCCACAAGAATTAGAGGTGTTCAAAAGAACCGATTGGAACCAGAACCGGTGGGTACTCGGGGTTTGGTTTCCATTCCTACCCGGAACTAACCGTCAACGGGTAGGTTTCGGTTCCAAATTTTTGGAACTGTCACTGTGCGGTTCTGGTTTCTATAGTTAGGAACTAGAATCGGTAACCGAGACTAATATAAAATAAAATTAAGGAGTAGGGGGTTAATAAAAACTTTTGTAGAAAAAGTATTGTAAATACATTTATATTTAATAATATTTAAAGTAAGTTGGTTTGACTTTTAAGAATTTACCTTTATAAAGTAATGGAGTTTATAATTTGTAATTTTATTTTTGTTAACAAGTGCCAGGTGGGTGGGGGGAGGGGGGTGTATTTGTAAGTTTTTAAGGGTTTTTTTCTATTTTGAAAAGATTTTGGGGGTAATGTAATTTTACAGCGTACCCGAAACCAAAACCGAAATCGGAACCATTGTTACAAGTTTCGGTTCCGATTCCAAATTTCAAGGAACTATCGGTTTCGGTTTTGGTTCCTTAAAAAAAAGCAGGGTACCCGAAACCGAACACCCCTAACAAGAACCATAAAAATTGGGTTTTTTATGATTTAGAGAGAGATATTGGGGGATCAACTAACATTCATCAAAATATACATGTCGTTTTTGTTCACAACATTTTTTTGGGAAACCCAATAATTACCTCTTTCGTGACTCAAACATAGGACCTCTGGGTATAACTAACCTCAATGACTAAAGGGTTTGCCATTCGACCGCAAAAAGAGAGGTGTTTTTGTTCGCAACATTTACGAAGTATATAAAGGTTAAAGCAAATTGTTATGGCCTAATTCAATCTTGGTAGAAACAAATTGTTTTTTGACATTCATGTAATCATTTGTAGCCAGGAACCTAAAATGGGTGAGTGGGATCTCAACAGGGTCACAGTTTTTGAAATTATACTTCCCAAGGACATGCTTATCTTAGCAACTACAAAATTCTACCTTTTGTATTGTTGCGTCTGGTCTAAGCCCATGTTCATATGAGACCCAATATCCAATTCAAGGGGCTTGACTAAGACCTATTCAGAATCATTAAAGAATATACCGAAAAATATTTTTAGAAGCTTCCA